GAAACTGATCAGCAGCAACATGAAACTGATCAGCAGCAACATGAAACAGATCAGCAGCAACATGAAACAGATCAGCAGCAACATGAAACAATTCAGCAGCAACATGAAACAGATCAACAGCAACATGAAACTGATCAGTAGCAACATGAAACTGATCAGCAGCAACATGAAACTGATCAGCAGCAACATGAAACTGATCAGCAGCAACATGAAACAGATCAGCAGCAACATGAAACAGATCAGCAGCAACATGAAACAAATCAGTAGCAACATGAAACAGATCAGCAGCAACATGATGTGATTTTCCACAGTGATTATTCTGGTTAGAGATTCATGAGTCTAACAGCCTCAGGGTAGAAGCTGTTCCTCAGTCTAGTGGTTCTACACTTAATGCTCCTCAACCTCCTTCCTGAGGGGAGCGGGGCAAAAAGTGTGTGTGCTGGGTGAGTGTGGTCCTTCATGATGCAGGTGGCCCTCTTCCTGCATCTGGAGGTGTAGATGTCTGGGATGGTGGGGAGGCTGACTCCAACATCTTCTGTGCAGCCTTCACCACTCTCTGCAAAGCTTTTCTTTCTGCAGCTGTGCAGCCTCCATGCCACACATTGATGCTGGAGCACAGGATGCTCTCCACTGCACACCTGGAGAAGGAGGTGAGGACTGAGCTTCCAGACCAGCTCGTCTCAGCCGTCTGAGGAAGTAGAGTCTCTGATGATCTTTCTTCATCAGGCTGGTGGTGTTGTTGCTCTTAAGTCCACAATCATCTCTTTTGTCTTCTTCACATTGATGTGAAGGTTATTCTCTTTGCACCAGCTCTCCAGGTGTTCCACCTCCTGCCTGTAGCTGGACTCATAATTGTTTGTGATGCATCCCACCACCGCTGTATCATCTGCAAACTTTACAATGTGACAGCCTGGATGGGTAGCTGCACAATCATACGTGAACAGAGTGAACAGGAGGGGGCTCAACACACATCCCTGAGGAGAGCCAGTGCTGAGGGTTATGGTGGAGGAGGAGAGGTTGTGGATCCTCACTGACTGTGTTCTGTTTGTTAAGAAGTCTAGTACCCAGTTGCAGATGGAGGGGCTTAGTCCTAGTGTGGATAGTTTGTCCATCAGGGTTTGGGGGATCATGGTGTTGAAGACAGATGTGAAGTCCACAAAGAGCATACGGACGTAAGAGTTTTTCTGCTCCAGGTGGTTGAGTGCAGTGTGGACCACAGAGGAGATTGCATCCTCTGTTGATCAGTTCTCACGGTATGCATACTGATGAGGGTCCTCATTGATGTTGATGGTTGTTTTGATGTGAGTCATGACCAGTTTTTCGAAGCATTTAGCGACTATCGGGGTGAGGGCCACTGGCCGATAGTCATTCAGACCAGTCACTGTAGAGCTTTTTGGGACTGGGATGATGGTGGCAGTCTTCAGGCAGGTGGGAACTGTCGCCAGTGTGAGGGAGGAGTTAAAGATGGCATGAGCTACAATTAATGGGTCTGCAGAGCCTACAGGCTGGCTAGTTAATGGTTTTTCAAAAGCACAGAGTCGAGCCTCCAGATCAAACAGCCTCCCCACCAGAACCGACATATCAGAACATTTATTACATAAACTATCATCTTCAAACAAGGCAGTATTATTGCTGAACATCTGGCACATGATGCATGTGATGAATCCAGAAGCCACATTGAGCCAAGGCCAGTAGGAGCCAGCAGATTTCAATACACTGATACAAACCAGAAGTCCTGAAAAATAAAGACCCTGTAGAATAAGTTTAATGTTAGGGTGATCAAGTGATGTGGATCCGATGCAGGCAGTCTCTCAGCGGTGATATGGTCTCTGCTTTTGTGTGCGTTGAAAGTTAGCAGCTCGCTAGGCCCACCACAATGTAGCACCACCATGTAGCACCACAATGTAGCACCACCATGTAGCACCACGATGTAGCACCACCATGCTGCACCACCATGTAGCACCACCATGTTGCACCACCATGTAACACCACGATGTTGCACCATCATGTAGCACCACGATGTTGCACCATCATGTAGCACCACCATGTAGCACCACCTTGTAGCACCACCATGTTGCACCACCATGTAGCACCACGATGTTGCAC